AGAATTGATTGTGCTTTTGTCTGTCATTCTGACAGCACAACAATTCAATGGCACCAGTTCTTCAATCTTCTTTATTTACTGTCTGACTGAAAAAAAGCAACCGAAAGTCCTATTATTTGGGTTCAGTGTACCTTAGTCTTTAAAGTGGCATCCTTGTTCCTCAGCACTTTAAAGAAGTCCTGGATAGATTTTTGTCCAATGCAATTCATCCTTTGAAGAGTGTTGAGTGTGGATACAAGTAAAATGAAATAATTGACACCTTCAATCCTTTCTCCATTTATCATAATGTTGCTTATTTGGTCCAGCCTCAGAAACCTTTTGGGGCGTTCTACTCGATTTTATAGTGTTATATAGGGTTATGATGAGTCAGGATCCACTGGAAGACTCATGTTTTAGATACAGATGTTCTTCATACTACCCATACAATATTCCTTACATTCCTAAGAAGACCCTTATCAGGAATCTTTAAACTCACCTGACAGTGTTCCACTTGCCTAGGGCTCTAGCATATTGCAGCTCATAAAAGTAATATTCCTTATTTCCTTTGATCTCAGATGGTGAGGTAGGTGGATATTCATTTCTTCTCCATTCTACAGATGGGACAACCGAGGCAGAATGAAGGTGGATAGCCCACCCAAGGATTTGTGCCTTAACTTGACTCCAAGTCTTCTGTGCTTTGCTTGTGTCAATTAAGTCTCAAGAAGTCATTTGGGTGTCAGCCTCAGGGAGGGGAGAAAGACAAGGGTTATGTTCTCTCTCTCTCTCTTTCTCTTTCTGTGTGTGTGTAGTTCTCAGCACACTTTTTTTTACAGGCACTCTGTGTGCAAACAAGTATTAGGAAATACAGTATCTGGAGATGTTCTGGGACCAAGCCATCCCAATGCTGAGAGTTAAGGGGCAAACAGGTCTGCCACTGATATCACAATGACATGACCTTAAATAAGTTTCTGAGGTTCTCTTGACCTCATTTCCATTAATGAGAAAAATTTACATATGTGTGTTGATAGAAGCCTAGGTTCAGGCAAAAAAGACATCTGCAATACTCATCATCATTACTATTTCTTTGAAATTCACAGTTTTGATACTCTCACCTTTTTTTAAAAAAAGACAAAGCAGTATAATAGTCCTGCCAACTCTTCAAAAATCAGAAAGCGTAACACTGATTTTTTTTTCTTTTTGGCATAGGAAGATTCAGTTCCTGGAAATGCTTACAAAATGTTTCCTGACACTGGGAGGAGATAGTTTAGAAAGGATAAAGAACTAATACATATATAGGTAAAGGAAGAAAGTAAACAGGAATAAACGCAAGAAATTTTTTAAAAAGAACTAAAGTAGAACAAAAAGAGACTTTTAAGGGGCCCAAATGAGAGCAGTGTTATCAAGTTCTCAGCATCTGCAATTCACAAGCTGCTCGCTGGTGCTGGCGGCGCAGGCCCCGCCCCTTTCTCGGGTGTCGGACGCTCATTGGTGGGGGCGGCAGTCGCCGGCCGGTGACTGCCCGAGGAAAGGTTGCCTGGGACACGCATCCCTGTGTGAACGCATGACGTCCCACCCTGGCGCCAGGCTGTCTGGGGCTGAGTCTTAGATCAACACAGCTGTGGGACCGGGACCCACAGCTGGGCAAAGGAGCGGATTCCTCAACAAAAAATAGGATTGTGAGAAAAGTTCTGAAACAAAAACAGCGCAGACAAAAGCCTTAATGACATCCTTTCATAAAAATAAAAAATGCAAGAGGGGGGAAAAAAGCTGGTAAAAGGAGCAGAACTGGGAACAGAAAGTTCAGAGGCATTTGGAATAAGAGGCTGAGGCCCCGCCACCGCTAAACAAGTTGCAGAAGGCCTGAGTTAGCTTGTCCTGTCTGCTTGTTGGGGGTGGAAAAGTCTCCAGTTTTAAACTATTCAGTGTGGCCAACCCGAACCTGCCTTTTTCAGAGATTTAGAATCGTGAATTGCCAAGGAATCTTAGAGGTCGTTTGCTCTGCACCGCTCTATCTTCTGTTTTACTGAAAATGAGGCCCAGAGAAGGAAGGAAATTTGTCTAGGGCCACACGACAAGTTATTGACATGGCCAGCACAGAATTCTGTGTATTGTATTCTTCTTCTGCTTGTGTCCCATGGCTCATGAGCATTTCATTGTGAAATAATGTGAAAGGACAAACCATAAACTGATAGGCAGGAAAGAGGCATCAATGGTGGTGGTTAGTTTGCAGTCGATTCTGACTCAGTGACCCTCTATGACAGAGTATAACTGCTCTATTGGGATTGTCGAGTCTTTTCTCTCCAGAAGCCTCTGGGTAGATTCAAATGACTGACCTTTTGTTTAGAGGCCAAGTGTTTAACCATTTTGCCACCAAATTAAAAAACCCAACAACCTGACTACCTTCAAGTCCTTTCTGAATCATAATGACTCTATCGTGTTTCTGAAGCTGTAAATAGTTATGGGAGGAGACTGCTCATCTTTATGCCATAGATTCAAACTGTTGTTTGACTTTCAGTCACACATGTAAAACCCTGTCATAGTGGAGAGTTCCTTAAGATATTAATAAGAGGGTGAAACTTATCGTTGTTGAGTCAGATCAACTCATAGTTTACCCTCCAACAGGTTTTCAAAAGCTGTAAATTGCATATAAGGAGATTGATCATCTTTCTCACCCGAAGCCTCTCGTGGATTCAAACTGGCACAGCGCTGCTGCTTTTGGGTTAGCAGTGCAACTGCCTATGGGCTATAGTACCGGGGTTACCTAAAATATTAAAGAGGAAGAAACATCAGAGAGGACAACTGACCCTCAGGGACAAGGACCCTCAGATGAAAAGTGCCTGTCTAGCATCTTGTCCAAAAGAAGCATTCAGCAATTTTGTTGTTTTTGAGTGAATTATTGTTGTTATGTGCCATTGAGTCACTTGCAACTCATTGTGACCCTATGTACAATAGCTCTAAACTCTGCTCTATCCTGAGCCAATCTCACTGTCTCTGGCATACCTACTCTTCGTGTCAATCCATCTCTTGAATGAATTAGGTAGAGCTAAATAGTTCCTTTTAACAGATGAGATTATTGAGGCACAGAGAGGTGGCTTACCCAAAAGTCACACACAGTAAAAGAGACGCATGGGAGTTTGTGAATTTTCAAGACCTTCCTGGACTTGACTATTCTGCATAAAAATATTCTAGGTTATGCATGACAAGGAAAGAAAGTGTCTTCTAGTTGATCACTAAAGGTCTCCATAGCCACCGTTTTCTCTTCCCATGACCAGACAGGTGACATGATCTTCACTTGATCTATGCAATATATAAATGGATTAATTCCTCCACAGATTATTTTTCCCTCCTCTTTCTTACACTAAAGAGGCTAGTTCTGAAAACTAGTGTGAAACTTTCGAAGACCTCTTTCTTGGCACACAAAGCCTTTAAAAGAACAGGCTTCAAGTATGGTTCTGATGTTTATTCATGGTGTGACAATAGACATGTTTGATTTCCTAAAACCTTAGATTTCTAAAATTGGAAAAGAATTCAAATGGTCATTTAGCATCATTTCCCCCATTTTACTAATGTGGCAACTAATTATTTTGAGAATTGTCCTCTCAAATACTTTTCCTCTGAATGTCTATTGTCCTCTTAATCAGTGTCAAACACTATCAAACCCCTGTAATTGTTTCCCCATGGTAATCTTGTCTCCCCAAATGGTGAAATTCTTGAGAGCAGGAGCCACATTTTATGTAAAGTAACTCCATAAGCATTTTACCAATCACCCGACTAAAGAAGCATCCACTGGGGGATCCCACTCCATTAGTTCCAAGATGGAAACCAGCTCCCTGGGGCTGCAAATTCCCAAAAGTCTTAGCAGGTGACAAGATAAACAACACTGAGTGCAGTGTCCACAAGGCTCAGCTTGCCTGTCTTCTGGTCCCTATCCTAGGCTCTCAGATAGAGCTGGAGCTGTTGCAGCAAGGATAAGAATAATCAAGCCCAGGTGGTCTGTCCTTCCATAGCAGAACAGACGATAGAGCAAACAAAATGACTATACTTTTCTACGCAAAAGGTGAAGAGTCTAGTAGCAGGGAAGCAAGAGTTTAAGCAATTCACTGTCAAGAGTAAGGGCTCCTAAAAATGTTTATCTAGGAATCATCCCCTCACACCCAACTTCATTAAAAATCCTGTCCAAAATTCTAATAAAAAATCCTTTCCATAGCACAACGGGACATACACATTTGGATCCTGACAGCGTGGGGTCACAGGATTGGAACTTTCCTCTGTCTCTACGCAAAAGGCACCAGGACAGGACAGAGAGCGTTCTTTTTTATTTTCTCCCTTTTCCCTTGTTGCTCAAATAGTGTTCTTTGCTCAACCCCTTTCCCCCTCCTCCTTCTGCAATCTCAGCGCCTAGCCCAAATCTGTTTTCTTCATTGTAACCTCAGCTTCACCGCAATTAATTTTTTTCCCCCTCTGGTCACAAGATAATTCCTGACGCCAGTGAGTCTGGAGGTCAGACGAACAGCAAATTGGGGAACAAGGCGGCACTAATTCCTTACAAGTTTCCCTTGAAAAATCTTTTGCTTAAAGCAAGCAAGCAAGCAAGCTCTGCTGTTCAGGGATTTATGACCTTGAGGAACTGTGGGTTCGAACCAGTACTGGGGCTAAGGGTGGACTGGCAGGGGGTAAAGGGAGCTCAAAGATCTGGGGCGCTGCCAGGAAAAGGCAAATTCTTAAAGTTAATGGTTTTGAGGGATTTTTTAAATCCTTCCTAGTGAAGAGGCCCGCCTCTCCCCAGTATCAGCGCTTCCTCATTCTTTGAATCCGCGGTATTCTGCTTTAGACCAGCCGGAGGAAGCCTGTTTGCAATTTAACCGCCTTGTGAACGCCCTGGGCTGGCGGAGGCGGGACCAGGGCGGTATTTTTGCATAAAGGGGTGTGCCGTCCAGGAGGGCTCTATAAAAACCGGTGGCAGGGGGCGTGAGCGCACTGCAGGCTGCTCTAGGTTGTCTTTTTGCTCCTCCAACCCTTCGGGTACCCACATCCTCTCGCTCCAACATGAAGGCGCTGAGCCCGGTGCGCGGCTGCTGCGAGGCGGTGTGCTGCCTGTCGGAGCGCAGCCTGGCCATCGCGCGGGGTCGCGGCAAGGGCCCGGCGGCCGAGGAGCCCCTGAGCCTGTTGGACGACATGAACCACTGCTACTCACGTCTCCGGGAACTGGTACCCGGAGTCCCGCGAGGCACCCAGCTTAGCCAGGTGGAAATCCTGCAGCGTGTCATCGACTACATTCTCGATCTGCAGGTGGTCCTGTCCGAGCCGGCACCCGGACCCCCTGACGGCCCACATCTCGCCCTCCAGGTGCGCGTGGTCGGCCTTAGGGACCCGGGGAGGAGGGGGACTGATGACCGATGCCGGGATGCCGCGGAATTCCCAGAAATCTCAAATGTCATGCGTAACTTTGTGCTTTCCCCCTCCTCCTCCAGACAGCCGAGCTCACTCCAGAACTTGTGATCTCCAACGACAAGAGGAGCTTTTGCCACTGACCCGGCCGTCCTGGCGCCTCCAGGTGTGTATGATGTCCTCCTTCTGGGCTGCCGGCGGGGAGGGGTCATTCAATCAAGCCTTCGAGCTGGCAGAACTTTCTAAGGGATTATCACCCCCTCTTAGTTTAGGGAGACTGAGGCAAGAGAAAAGTAAACCATTTATCTGCGGTCGTATTAAACGAATCGTAAAATGTACTTCAATTTAATGCACATTTCAACACCCCCAGTGTGCATATTCCCCAATAGCAAAAATAGGGCTGGAGAAAATAAATTGGGATCCCAATATGCAAGATAGCTTTTCTGTCTACACTCGTGAAGGGAGCTGTGGGGCTGTCTTTCTAGGCCCCCTCCCAAGCAGGGTCAATTGGTGGGGGGTAGGCTCCGCCTGTGGTCCTTTGGCGCCAACTGGGTGGGGACAGCGTGGGGCGCAGAGTTATCAGCTGGAGGTAGAGAGCGAGTTTCCTCCCTGGCGCCGGCCAGTCTGCGGACTGCCCCCGCCTCGGCGCGCTAGGCGGAAACTGACGGCTCCCTGGTCTTCCCTGCCCCCGCCCAGAACGCAGGTGCTGGCGCCCGTTCCGCCTGGGACCCGGGACCCTCTCCGGCCGGAAGCGAGGGCATGGATGGGCCCCAACCTCGCCCTGCCCACTTGACTCCCCCAAACGCCTGCCTTGAGGCTGGATCTGGCGCCCGGGAGCGAAGGACTGTGAACTTGGGTGGCCTGAAGAGCCCGAGCGAGCTCTGGGCACCAGCTGGGCAACGTCACTCTGTCCCCACCCCCAAGTTTAAAGACTGTCTTTTCAGAGTATGGAGGTGTGGGGTGGGGGGGAGTGGCTGCTCTCCAAACTCTGCCAAGGCTGTGGTAGAGCTGGTCTTCTGGTTTCCTTGGAGAGAGGCTCTGTTGCCCTGATTATGAACTCTATAATAGAGTATATAGCTTTTGTACCAGTATTACAGGAAGGTGGCTTTCTGTAACCATGCGATGTATATTAAACTTTTTATAAAAGTTAACATTTTGTATAATAAACTGTTTTTAAACATTTGTGTTTATATAATCTGACTGGACACCCTGTTCCCCCATTTCTTGAGTATTAAAGCCCTTTCTCACACAGGCTGATTTTTGGAAAAGAACGTGTTCTTCCTGGGCCTTTATTCTCCTCAGAAGGAGATGGGAAAATGCCCAGCTTGAGGCTGCTGCTGGGGCGGGGGATGGGAAGGGCACTGTATGCGTTTGTTCATGGTGGGATGCAAAGAAGGTGGGGTGGCCCTGCTTCATTTTAAAGAAGGGAAGTAAATGCCACAAGCTTGCCCAGCAAATGGGGGGCCCAGTCTAGAGCCTAAATTGCCTGATTTCTATTCTCATGTCCCTTGAGAGCTGTTGGGCTACACCAGCAGGTGGCTGTTTCCTTTGATATCATCAGTGATTCACGATGACTTTCTAGCAGGGAAGGTGAGAAGTGTGGAAATGCCAGTTGTCTCAGTGCCCAGACAAGAGTGGTGGTTGGTAGACCCATTTCAGAGATGAAAAATACTGATCACCGGCTGATATGTTTTCATCATCTCTTCTTGGTTTGGCTTCCCTTCTGGGCTTCTATTGTTAGAACAGAAGAACCTGGAACTCCATTCAATCACTAGTAGTTGAAAATACTAACTATAGTCTAACACTGACTGGGCAGGCATTTGTAGATTTTTACCCCTGGGCCAGGACTTGAAGAGGCCCCATTGCTCTCATTCTAATCTTTACCACCTCCATCTAGAGCATGTAACATAACCATCTTTATTTAAAAAATGGGGAAACTGGGGCTTTCTGGGTTAGACGATTGCACAGACTCTTAAGAGGCAGAAATGGAATTTGAATCTTAACTCTGGCAACCAGCATAGTCATGGAGGGGAGCAGGGTTGGAACTGACCTCTGTGGGGCAAAGGGCAGAATTCCAATCTGTGCCATCCCTTGCTGCCCCCCACCTGGTGACTCCCCAGGTGGGCTCCATCAGACGCCTGGTCTCACTGGATTCCTGTTTATGATATGATCTCATCTGTATGTTGGCCTCTGGCAGGAGTTACAGCTCTATTTCATAATAAACAGGTCACATCATCACCCTTCACACCTCAACCCTGTTGAGCTTTCTGGGGTAAGAGGGGGCAACTTATGTGTTTGCCAACTAAACACCCCCTCCCCCAGCAGTTCTTAACCTGTCTGAGGTACTGGTCTCCTTTGACGATGTGATGATGGAAGACAGGAACACTTCAGAAAACAAAAGAACAAAACTTTGCAAAGGAGACTAGCATACCTTCAGGTCTGCTTACAGGGTAACCTTCAGGCCTCAGTTAAGGAACCTTTTGCCTCAAAACTTGAGTCCCAGACTGGTTCCAGTTTGAACTAGCTATGCTGTGCCAATTCTGGAGTCTGCCTCTAAAGGTGTGAACTCCATTTGCCTACAAGGTGTATAACAACTGGCTAGGGAGCACTCCTCTTAAGCCTCAGTTTCTGAATCTGTAAAAGGGAGCTGATCCTGAGCAAGCTCTCAAGAGTGATGAGTTCCACATCACAACTGAGTGCAGCAGAGCAAGACATTGAATTCAAGTCTTGAGGTGCCACATCCTATATACTTTCTGCTACAGCATGTTCTCTTATTTCCTCTTGTTCATTCAGAAGTTTCGGCGCAGCAGAAGGCTCAAATGAACCACATCACTCATCCGCCATTTGACCTTGAACAAGCTTCTCCAGGCCTCCCGCTCCTCCCTTGCCCAGCAGCTGGTAGTCCTTGCACCGCTACCTCCCCGGAAGGAGATAATGGTGGGAAAGTTCTTTGAAATGCATCACACACCTACGAGGTATTATTAAGCTAATTCTGAGGAAATTGCCTGTCAGGTCTGCTGGGACTGAGCTGTTCAGGTGGCCAGGACAAAAGCTGAGACTAGCACGCCAATCCATTAGTCATTAGAGAGTGAAAGCAATTTGGCCATAGGTTGGAAAGCTCTCAGAGGGAGGATTCTTGGGTTTTGTTGCTGTTAGCGTGCCTGCTGTGTACCAGCTTCATTTCACCTTAATTTTCCTTAATCCTTCCCCAAAGCCAGCAAGGTGTGTACCATTATTCTGGTGTGACAGCAGAAAACTGCCTTTGAGTCTGACTCATAGTAAACTTCCATCAGGTTTCCAAAGCTGTAAATCCTTACTGCGAAAAGGCTATCCATCTTTTTCCTGAGGAATGAGTAGTAGATTTGGCATTCAACATTTTGGTTGGCAGTGCAACACATAACCAACTACACTATCAAGGCTCCTTAAAGCAGACTTAGTAACTTGATCAAGGTGACATAGCAAAGAATCTCAGCTCTATTCCAGGTCAGCCCTATTCCCTCACTGCTCCCTGTACTTGGCACCTATAGGGTCCCTAGTGGATTTTTTTTAATAAAAGACCTCAGGCCACCTGGGTCTCCCTCTTGGAAAGGCAGTGCCCTCTCTGTGAAAGGTTCATTGTTTGGATTAAAGATAAGGTGCCTAAAGCATCCACCAGGCTTCCTGAATAAGATTCACTATTAAATAAGCAGTTTACTCTTATTACTCCAGGTTAGCCTACCTCAAGGAGAGCTCTGATGGTCTGTAAAGAGTTGTGTTGCTAACCCAAAGGTTAGCCTCTCTGGCAGTTCAATCCCACCTGTCTGAGAAAGAAAGATGATAATCTTCTCTCCAGTGAGTAAGTCTGCATCAGTTTTGAGATTTGGGCATTCGGGTGGCACTATCAATTTGTAAATAAATCAGTTCAGAACAGGCCAAGTAACTAGCCTGTGGTCCAAAGCAGGCCAGCAGGGATTAAAATTCATGCCCTTGATGAATGTAAATTATATCAACTATAGAAATTAATATTAGAGAAGTAGCAGATGTTCTATTACCTACATACTAGGGATGGTGATTTTTTAAAAAAATCACATTGATTAAATTTTGAATTGCACAGCAATTATTGTATTGCTGCCAGTAAATGGTATACCTGTAAAAAAGTTGGTTTGGCAAAAGTATGATAAATGTATTTTACAGTGACAAAAAAAGAAGTAATCTGTTTATGAGAACAGCTGATGGGATTTGCCTCCTCGGTTTGCAGATTTTGGCTTCATGGGTCATCCCAGTTAAATGGCCTCATTGTGTTTCTATTCTACTCCTTCTATTCTATTCATACTCTCTGTATGGTGCCACGGGGTGTCTTAAAGGTTTGCATGCAACCTCTAAGAAACAACAACTGGTCTGTACTTACCTGAAGCAATAGAGAAGAATCAGAAATAGGAGAAAGCTGCAGAATGTATGGTTAATTGACACCTTTACCAGGAAATCAGAAGAACTGGATGGTAGGTACCTGGCTAGAATCACTGACCATTTTGGCCAAAGATTTTACAGGAGAGTCCTGAAAAAAAGATTAAAGTGGGAGGTGGGAGAATGAAGTACAGAATTTCAAACTTTCATTTGACACTAGACTTTCTGGAGCCATGGACAAAAGATGAACCCCTGGAACTATACCTTGACATAATCTTTAAATCTGAAACCAAAAATATCCCCTTAAATTTTCTGAAAATGGAATAGTTTAACTCACCTAGGGGAAAAAAAGTCAGCCTTGAGCATTAAGCTCTTTTAAGGACTATGGACTGAATCAGATTGGTAACAGTAATTCAAAAGATTAGAAAAGAAATTTTTAAATTTTTTTTATTTTATTATTATTTTTGTGTGTCTGTGTACCATCAAATCAGATCTGACTGGTACAGGAGGAGATTGTCCCTCCTTTCCCCGCAGAGCATCTGGTGGATTCGAACCATGGGCCTCTGGGATTGCAGTGCAGCTTCTTGCCACTAGGCCACCAGAGCTCCCCAGAAAGGAAACTTTAAAGGGCAGTCAATTTACATTAATCAACTCAATTTCAGTAACTGTTGAGTTGTAACCTACTCATAGCTGACCTTCCAGCGGGTTTTCTGACGCTGTAAATTTTAAGGGAAGGGATTGCCCATCTTTCTCTGCAGAGCTGTTGATGGATTCTGTCAAAGAGACACCATCACCGCCACAGATACACACGTTAGCGAACTCTCTATGGAGTGGCCTCCAAATTCCTTTAATTTTGTTAATGAGGAAGAATCATTCCGAAAAAGGAGGGTCAGAATAATTGCACAACTTAAATAATGTAAGGGAGCTCTGGTGGCCTAGTGGCAAGAAGCTGTGTTACAAAGGATTGCAAAGGCACCTGGTTTGAAGTCACCAGCTGCTCCCGTGCAATAACAGCTTTTTGATAACCCACGGGAGAATCAGTGTCACTAACTGAAAATGATAAAACAAAATGGTATGTGTTTTGCTGTGCACATTCTCAAATTTTTAAAAATGTTAAATTTTGCAGAAAAAAAATACTCATTTATGCCTAGTACACTTAAAACTGTTTCAAGGAGGACAGTGCTAACTCTGATAGCTGTGGACTACTCAATTCTGTACTCAGACGCTCCCTTCTGAACTGAGGTTGGCATATACTTTGGAGTGAGTGGAGAACGACATCATGCTTGGTAAAATAAGGAGAAAGAGAGAGAGACCTTCAAGGAGATAGACTGACACAATGACTGCATCCTAGCAGTGTTCCAGTCCTGCTGTACAGGGAGGGGGTCGCTATGAGTCGAAATGCACTAGAACAAGTAAACGTAGATCCGCGAAGGCAAACCTTAGCGCTCTCTCTGCTTGCAATCTTTACTTCTTATGGTCACCACGCTCCTTATTCCCCAATCTACACCCTCATTCCAGTACAACTGCTTCCAAGGCCCCCCACGGCCCATTGATAGGCCTCCGGGGAGAGAGCAGCTCCCCACCCGCGGCTTCCCGGCGCCCAGGAGGGGCAGGGCCCAGGCCCACGTGGCCCGGTGCCGGGCGGGCGTGACCGATCCGCCCAGCCCCGCCCCTCGCCCCGCCCCGCTCCCCCCGCGGGCCCTGGGGGCCGCTCGCAGGTGTTCGCTGGCGTCCGGATGTCTGAGCTCTGGCTCCGCTCTGGCTCCGGCTCCCTCCGCAGCCTGCGGGCGGGGCTCCCAAC